GCGGCGTCTGCTCGCGCGGCGGCGTCTGCTCGCGCGGCGGCGTCTGCTCGCGCCGCGTCGTCTTCTCGCAGGGTCCATCGCGCGCGTGCGGCGCACAGGCGCACGCCGCGCCGCGCCGCGCCGCGCGGGGGGCTTTAGTGCGGGCGCGGGGCGCGGCGCTGGCGGCGGCGGGAGGCGACGGTGGGATGGTGCGGCGGGGCGAGGCGTGAGCGACGTTGCTGTTTGCGCTGGCACGGGCGGTGCGGGATGCGCTGGCGGGGTGGTGCGTGCCAAGATCGGCATACTGCATCATAGGGCCATGGGCCATGAGGTGGCGAAAGCGATTTCGTCCAATAAGAACGCTCCGGACCCCCACCATGTATACGTGGATGGCTGGCACTGGGTGACGGATCTAGTCGGACCAGGCGTGAGAGTTCTGTATGCGCACCATGGTAGATTTTAAAACTATTAATTAGTAATTCTACTCGACGGCGGACATGTCTCAGACTGGATGACATGAAGTTGTGTGACCGGGGGGGTAGCTCGCCCCTCACACACATGGGAGAGGAACTGACTTGTAGAAATACTGAAAAATGCGGCAGGAAAATGCAGTGATTGGAAGAAAACTTTGGCACCAGGGAACAGTGCTTTTACTCATCCAGGTCTTCCGGCGAAAGGGAGCTTTTGACCTTGATGGGCTGTGACTATCTGCTTTCTTCGCGCGGTGCGTCCTTAAGCCCACCCTTTTATACTACCCCAATCCAGTTTGCTCACACAAACCAAATTGCGGGCAACTGCAGTGCGACCATATACCGTCGTTATACTGTCATACAAACAATAGTAAATCATCATTAGGAAGTATACTGTACGTCCGGTTCCGCACAATTCATTCCATACGAAAATACGCACGTTCACAGACTCTCGATCGCATGTTTTGCTTACGGTGTTAAGTGCGGGTTGTGGGGGCTTACGGAGCCTCCCCACTCGCCGTTAACTACCTCCTCTGTAACGGGGAGGAGGTAGTTAACGGCGAGTGGTGGCAGTCGTGTTTGAAGTCAACTCGTGGGCGGGTCCTAGAAGAGATGTTTATTGGTAATTATTTTCCTGAAACATGGTTTTTGGTCATTATTTTCCTCCCGCAGCTTCCGCCCCCTTTATTTGCAACAGCGCTGAGAGCCGTCCCCACGAGTGGGGTACCAATAAACATCTCTTCTGAACCACCCCATTTATGAATAAAACTTATCCAAACGACCTGTTTCAACAAAATGCAACAGTACAAATATTTCATCTTCATTGTTGTTACAGTAGTCAGCCCACCACATGACACTGTAAGGCACCCATGAATACAGTAAACGCGCTGCAGTGGAAGCGTGTGCACGGCGCGCGTGGGGCGATCTGAAGCGAATCTCGCGGGGCGAGGGGGGGGCGGTGGGGGGGGGGGGGGGGGGCCCCAGGGGGCCCTCTCCCTTTTCCCCTGTGGGGGGGCCGGGGGGGGGGGGGGGGTTTTCCCTCCGCCCAGGAA